GTGTGTCCCCGTCCTGTCCCTGTCCCTGTGTCCCCGTCCTGTCCCTGTGTCCCTGTCCCTGTGTCTGTGTGTCCCCGTCCCTGTGTCTGTGTGTCCCCGTCCTGTCCTTGTGTCTGTGTGTCCCTGTCCTGTCCTTGTGTCCTTGTCCCTGTGTCTGTGTGACTGTGTGTCCCCGTCCTGTCCTTGTGTCTGTGTGTCCCTGTCCTGTCCCTGTGTCTGTGTCCCTGTCCTGTCCCTGTGACTGTGTGTCCCCGTCCTGTCCCTGTGTCTGTGTGTCCCTGTCCTGTCCCTGTGACTGTGTGTCCCTGTCCTGTCCTTGTGTCTGTGTCCCTGTCCTTGTGTCTGTGTGTCCCTGTGTTTCTGTGTCCCTGTGTCCCTGTCCTTGTCCCTGTGTCCCCGTCCTGTCCCTGTGTCCCCGTCCTGTCCCTGTGTTATTATCCCTGTGTTCCTGTCCCTGTCTCCTTGTCCCTGTGTCCCTGTCCCGTGTCTGTCCCTGTGTCCCTGTCCCCATCCCTGTTCCCGTCTGTGTCCGTGTCCTTGTCCATGTGTGAGCAGGGACCAAACCCAGGCAGGGCTGCTCCAAACCCATCCAGCCTGGCCTTGGGCACTGCCAGGGATCCAGGGACAGCCACAGCTGCTCTGGGAATTCTATCCCAGGGCCTGCCCACCCTGCCAGGGAACAATTCCTGCCCAAGATCCCATCCAGCCCTGCCCTCTGGCACTGGCAGCCATTCCCTGTGTCCTGTCCCTCCATCCCTTGTCCCCAGTCCCTCTCCAGCTCTCCTGGAGCCCCTTCAGGCCCTGCAAGGGGCTCTGAGCTCTCCCTGGAGCTTCTCCTCTCCAGGTGAGCACCCCCAGCTCTCCCAGCCTGGCTCCAGAGGGGCTCCAGCCCTGGAGCAGCTCCAGGGGCTCCTCTGGAATCTCTCCAGCAGCTCCAGGTCCTCTTGATGTTGGAGTCCAGGGCTGGAGGCAGCTCTGAAATAGGGTCTCATAAGCATTATATACATTTTAAATTCTATATTTTGATTTATATCTTAAAATCTGCTCTCAAATAAACACCTCACTTTCATTATCTTTACTGCAATGACCATCAAACCCTGGGCTTCACTCCAAGGTCCTTCCCCTTTGCTTTCCAAACACTCTTCCCCCTCCACGCATTTACAGGAGACAAAATTAATTCAGATTAATGATTTAACATCCCCCCCGAGCTCCCCGCTGCCCACAGGAGCACCAGTGGAGGTAACTGTGCCTGGAGGCCGAGCCCCCCCAGCCCCTGATTCCATCAGCAGGACTGGGAGCTGCTTTGGGAGGGTCCAACCTTCCCTCTGCCCATCCCGGGGCTCCCCCGCACGCCCGGAGAAATGGGAACAGGGAACCTCCCCGCGGGAGGCAGGATGGGGGAAGAGGATTCCTCGTGGTGTAGGACAGTTTTCCCTCACGGAAATGCCTCTCGTGCGTTGGTTTATGGCCCACGCTGCCATTAAATGGACAAAGTTTGTTTTCGTTTTACTGCAGCTCTCTGTGCCCCGATCCCGGACTTCGCCCGGCGCTGCCCGGCCGGGTGATTCCCACAGCAGCCACGTGTGGCCGGCGTGCACAGGCTGGGAAATCCGCCTGATCCTGCCGGGAGAAGGGATGGAAGGATGCACGCAGGGCCAGGGGCAGCAGGCACAGCGAATGTCCCTGCCTGGAGCTCCGCAGGTTTCTGCTGCCCTGAATTCAGGGGCACGAGGAGCTGCTGGGAGCCGAGCAGGGACTTGCTGGGGGCACCGACTCACGGGCTGGGGAAGGAAAAGAGATTCCAGCAGCTACCCAGGGTGGTGGGAGAGCCATAAAATCACCGAATCCTGGAATGGTTTGGGCTGGAAGGGGTCTTAGACCTCATCCAGTCCCATTTCCCTGGGGAGCAGGCAGGGACATCTTCCACTACCCCAGGCTGCTCCAAACCCCGTCCAAGCCGGCTTTGAGCACTTCCAGGAACAGCCGCAGCTGCCAGGGTCTCCCCATCCTCACAGCCAAGAATTTCCTCCTATCTCCAATCTCCAGCTCCCCTCCTTCAGTTTAAAGCCACCCAAGCACTCCCAGGCTCCCGCTTGTGTTCGCTGTGCCGGGGAGCCCCAGCTCCCTTCCAGCGGCATTCCAGCAGCTCGGAGGGCAGCAGGAATGTGCTGAGTGCCGGCAAAGCGGCTGGGATAAATCTGGGATAAACACATCCCAGATCCCCCAATCCCCTCCCACCTTTGGGAGAGGTTACCAGGAGCCTGCACAGGGTTTTGGGGTCGGTGCCACCGAGCCGGGCTCAGCTGCACTCCCGTGACCCGGGACGTTGGGAAAGCTGCTGGCACCGTGCCCAGCTCCAGAGCCAAACCCAGCCGGCTCCAGACTTCCCGGCTGCCCCGAGCGCTCCCAGGTCTGGCCAAAGTCAAACCCTCAACAGCAGCAGGGATGGCCGCAGCTGAACCCCGCTTTTAGTTCCGGCGGGGATGGAGGAACTCCAAGGAAAACAGGCGGAAAATATCTTTTTGCTCTTGTGCTGCAAGTGCTGGAGTGCCAATCCCGGACTGCCCCGGATCCTGGGGCAATCCCAGGCTCCTGCCCCGCTCCATGGGGAGGCAAAGCCGAGGTTTCCCGGCTGGATCAGCTCCTGCAGGGCTCCAGGGCGGGATGTCCCGCTCAGGGCAGGTGGATGTGCCCGGACACAGCGGCGAGCTGGGGCGCTGGGGTCAGCTCGGTGACACGGAACTGGTGGCACTGGGAAAACAGCGACTCTTGGAGCAGAGGCCGCCCCTGGAATGTGCAAGCTGGCGTTTGCTGCCCTCGGCATCCAGCAGATCCAGAGGGGACCGGGAACGCTCCGCGGGCCCGGCCCGGCAGTGTGGGGTGCCCGGGGCACGGCTGGGCTGTCCCAGCACACGGACACGGAGGGAATTGCTGCAGCAGCCGGGATGGACAGAGGTCCCAAGGGACGGGCCAAGGCAGGGAAACGAGGGAGAGAACCAGGGACACCCGAACAAGGACAGCAGGGAGCCGAGAGGAAAGGGAGCAGAAGCCCCCGGCACCGGCCCGGGGGCTCAGGGACCACCCGGAGGCAGCTCTGGGAAGGGCCCTGGCCGGCTGCCCCGGCAGGGACGGGGCTTTGTCGCCCTTCAGGGGCACTGTTTGATGCTTGGTCTCATTCCCAAAAACCCAAATTAAACAACTCGATGCTCTTACGTGCAGGAAGCACCTCCCCAGCTGGCCCAGACGTCCTCCCCCATCGAGGGCTCCAGTGGGCATCTCCCACATCCCTGGGGGTTAACCCATTGCTCTCCAAGCCGCCTCCCACTACGGGCAGCCCAACCCCGCGGCCCGGAGAATTTTTGGGGTGAGGATGTGGCTGGTGGGGGGAAGAGCCTGGGGGGCTGAGCCCGGCCCAGCTCCCGACCCCTCGGTGATGCCGAACGCGGAGGGGAGGGCAGGCACAGCCCGGAGAATGATGAAAGTCAAGATTAAAGGGCAGGGGGAGAGCAAAACACCCCGGCCGCTTTTGGCAGGCGATGAAAGGAAGGCTTAGCAGCAGCTGCCAGCTGGGAGCTGACAGAGGGACAACTGCGGCTCCGGCTCCATCCCGGGCTGCCCAGCACATCCCCAGCACGGCCACCCACTGTCCCCGCAGCCCCAGGGTCCCCAGCAGCCCTGCTGCTCCTCGAGGAAAAGCGAGAGACAGCAAAACTGCGGCCGGCCGGGAAAGCCGCAGGGAAAGCGCAGTTCCAGAGCATCGCCTGCCCGCTCCGGGAACTGCCCAGGAGAGTGAAAAGAGGCTTCAGCTGCTTCCCAGCTGCCTCCGAGACAGATTTAGCTCTGGGGCCGGCACAGATGGGGCTGCGGGGCCGGAGCCACGGGCGGAGCCGGAGCCTGCAGTTGCTAATAGAGATACAGCAAATTAAGCGAACTTAATTCGGAGGGTCACCACACAATGCTCCCACCTGTTTTGCTGCGGTCCAGCCATCTGCCACCCCTCCACCTGATGTAAAAAGGGCTTTTCCCCCCTTTCTCCCGGCGCCGTGGGCTTCGTTAAGTCGTGTCGGGGCTCATCAGGCTGCAGAGCCGGGCCGGGGGCACTTGCAGAACAAACCCCAGGGAGGTTCCCAACAGGGGGATAAGGAAATCACCCTTTTATTGTGCTGCACAAACGCTTTCATGTGTCCCTGGAGTGTTCCAGGTTGGACAGGACATGGAGCAACCTGGGATGGGGGGAGGTGTCCCTGCCATGGCAGGGGGTGGAACAGAACCATCCCTGGGGTCCCTCCCAGGCCAAACCGTGACAGGATTCTGTGACATCCCATTTCCCAAATGGTCAATTCAGAGATTCGGCAGGAGGGCCGTGGAGCTTGGCGTCGTGCTTTCTGCTGTGGAAATTGGCTCCTGCCATCCAGGAGCTGCAGGAAAACACTGCCAAAATCTCCATGAGGGACCACCAAGGGTCCCGAGTACAGCCCTGCTCCGTGGAGCTGCTGGGAATGTGCCAGCCAGGTTGGGAAAGAGCTCTGGCACCGGCTGTGGGAGCACGGAGGGCTTTGGGTGCAACAGCTGAGAAAGCTTTGACACAGCAGCCGTCAGGAGAAATCCCCCCCGGAGGTCTGCAGGGCTGACACGGGACATCTGGAGCGGGAGCAGCTTCCCAGAGAAGCACCGAGTTCTTGGAAACCTGCAGAGGGAGAGATCACAGAGTCCCAGACTGGTTTGGGTTGGGAGGGACCTTAGAGATCACCCAGAGCCAACCCTGTCATGGCAGGGACACCTCCCACTGTCCCAGGCTGCTCCAGACCCATCCAGCCTGGCCTGGGACACTTCCAGGTGTCCAGGGGCAGCCCCAGCTGTTTCCTGTGGCAAACTCTGTCCCTGTGTTTGAAGGTTGGTGGAGGTGTGCCCTGGGAGCAGAGCTGCTCCCTGCAAGGATCATTCCAAGAGAGCGATCCCTGTGGAGGCAGGGAACAGCATCCATCGAAGGAGAGATTGTGTCCCACTTCTCCTCTCAGGTGAGAATCACCTGCAGAGCTGCTTCCAGCCCTGGGGAGGATGTGGAGCTGCTGGAGAGATTCCAGAGGAGCCCTGGAGCTGCTCCAGGGCTGGAGCCCCTCTGGAGCCAGGCTGGGAGAGCTGGGGGTGCTCACCTGGAGAGGAGAAGCTCCAGGGAGAGCTCAGAGCCCCTTGCAGGGCCTGAAGGGGCTCCAGGAGAGCTGGAGAGGGACTGGGGACAAGGGATGGAGGGACAGGACACAGGGAATGGCTGCCAGTGCCAGAGGGCAGGGCTGGATGGGATCTTGGGCAGGAATTGTTCCCTGGCAGGGTGGGCAGGCCCTGGGATAGAATTCCCAGAGCAGCTGGGGCTGTCCCTGGATCCCTGGCAGTGCCCAAGGCCAGGCTGGACATTTGGCTTGGAGCAGCTTGGTTTATGACAGTGTCCCTGTCCCTGTCCTTGTCCCGTTCCCATTCCCGTTCCCATCCGCGGTCCCGAGCGAGCTCAGGCCCGGCAGGGCCGTGCAACACGTGGGCGTGGTCTTATTTGCATGAGCCAATGGGAGCGTTGTATGCAAATGAGACGGCGCGGGTTGGCCGGGCCGGGCGGGGCTGCGCGCGCGGGGCGCCTTTGTCCGGCACAGGCGGCGGGGCCGGAGCGGCCGGAGCGGCCCGAGCCCGGTGCCTTCCACCGGTGTTCGCTGTCCCAGCCCGCTGTCCCAGCCCGCTGTCCGGCCGTGGCCCCGTGATGACTCTGGAGGAGCTGCCCGGGGAGCGCCGCGCCGCCGGGAGGTGAGGCCGGGGGGGCGGCGGGGCCGGGCGGGGAGCGGCGCGGGGTGGCCGGTGACGGCCGGTGCCGCGTGTCCCGGCGCAGGATGGAGCAGGCGGGCGACGCGCTCGAGGAGGTGCTGAGCAAGGCGCTGAGCCAGCGGAGCCTCACCCTCGGCGTCTACGAGGCGGCCAAGCTGCTCAACGTGTGAGTGTCCCCTCCCCGTATCCCCCGGTGCCCCGCGCCCGGTGCGCCCTCGGTGACGGCGGTGCCCCGCAGGGACCCCGATAACGTGGTGCTGTGCCTGCTGGCGGCCGAGGAGGAGGAGGCGGGGGACGCGGCGCTGCAGATCCACTTCACGCTGCTGCGGGCCTTCTGCTGCGAGAACGACATCAACATCCTGCGCGTCAGCAACCCGGCTCGCCTGGCGCAGCTGCTGCTGCCGGCCGCGGGTCCCGAGCCGCCCGCGGACCTGCACTGCGTGCTCGTCACGGTGAGCCCGGGGGGGACACCCCGCCGCTCCCCGGGGGGGACACCCCGCCGCTCCCCGGGGGGGACACCCCGCCGCTCCCCGGGGCTCGAACCCGCGGCCGCAGTCCCGGGGACAGCGGGGCTGCCTTCTCCCCTCGTTCTGCTGTGATTTCCCCACCCTTCTCCTTTGTTTTCACCCTCTTTCTCCTCTTGTTCTGCTCTTTCTTTACTTAGTTTTCCTCCTTTCCCCTTCTCTCTTCATTTTTCCTCTTCCCCCCCCTTTCTTTCTTTCCCTTCCACCCTTTTATCTCTCCCTCCTATTTATTTTTTTTCCCCCTTCCCTACTCTGCCCCAAAGTCCAAAGCTAAACTCCTCACACGCTTCCAGGCCTGACTTGTTTGTTCGCCTCGCCAGCAATTTAAGATGATTCACACTCCTGGGCTTTCTGCTGTGCTTTTTCCTCCCCCCACCTCGTGCCACGCTCGGCTTGTTTTTGCTGCCTTGCTGAAGCTTTTTTTTGCCGTCTCTTTTCCAGAACCCGCAGGCGTCGCAGTGGAAGGATCCAGCGCTGAGCCAGCTGATGTGTTTTTGCCGGGAGAGCCGGTACCTGGACCAGTGGGTGCCGGTGATCAACCTCCCGGAGCGGTGACCCCCAGCCCGGCCCCGCTGCCAGGCTTTGCCAGTTGCTCAGGAAGGAACTCCCTGCCCCGGCTCCAGGATTCCCCCGGGGGAGGGAGGAAAAATAAAACACAATAACAACTTTAAAAAAAAAAAAAATAGATATAAAATAATAAAGTTAAAACTGATGTCGTGGGGGGGGTTTGGCTGCAGTGGAGCGATGCAGAGCGTGGGAGTCGGGATGAAAACAAGGCATGAGCCCAGCCCGACGTGCCCTCACGAGAATCCTCCTCACTCTTTCTGTCCTTAAGTGCCACTTAAAGTTCCTGCTTTAAACACGTTAACGAGCAAACAAGGTTAATCGAGGCCTTTTGCCAGCAATGCTGTTGTATTTTTGGGATGTTAATTCTCACGTTTTTATGCTAAGATATATAATAATAATAAGTTATTTTCTGATATTGATGGAAAAATTATTTATACTTGGAGGTCTGAGAACCGAAGTGCCCTCGTGCAGTTGGTCTGCAACCACAAATCTTCTCCCAGTTTCCCAGTTGGCTGCAAAAGCAGCACCATTAATATAATTGTTTGAAATTTGAGTGTTTTTTGGGGTTCTGGTGTTCTTGTTTTGTGCTTTCTTTTTTTTTTTTTTTTTTTTTTTTGAAATAAAGTGTAAAATCAAACCTTTGGCCCAGCCTTTTATTTCCTTACTCCAGGACTGCACAGGCACAAGGGCTGAGCAGCAGCTGCTTCCTTGTCCTGGCCACGGGCAAGGTCCTGTTGTGCAGCTCCAGTGTGGGTTCATTCCCGGCCCCTCCCAAGCAATTAAACGCCAAAGCAGCCGAGGTGCTGCAGGAAATATTTGGAATGTTTGTTATTTATTTATTTGACTTGAATGCTGCCACAACAGGAGCTTAAAAAAAGGAAAAAAAGGGGTTTTGCTGCCGAGGTTTCCACATTCCTGCAGCTCCTCCCTGGCAGCGGGGAAAGGTGATTCCCTGGAGGAGGAAAACCTGTCCCGGTGTTTCCTTGCAAAGCCCCGGGATTTGTTCGCACCCCCAGCTCCCGGTGCCAGGCTCCTCTTTAGTGACACAGGCAGGTGGCACAGGTGCCACCCTGGGACAGGAACATCCACACCCTCTGCTGCTGCTGGCACTGCCTGGGGCACCCAGCCCGAGCCCAGGGCTCTGGGGACAGTGGCACGGGGTCACTCTGTCCCCAGCCCTGCTGGGAGGGGAGGCTGGACCTGTTCTCCCACTCCTGGGATGCTCCAGCACGAGGCCACCCTGTCCCTGTCCCTGTGTCCAGCTCAGGGCTCAGCCCAGGCAGGTCCCAAAGAGGCCACCCTGTCTCTGCCCCTACCCCTGTCCCCAGCTCAGGACTCAGCAAAGGCAGGTCTCAACAAGGCCACCCTGTCCCTGTTCCAATGAGGCCACCCTGTCCCTGTCCCCAGCCCAGGCCCAGCACAGGCAGCTCCCACCCTGTGCCCAGGGACACGGCAGCAGCACCAGATTTATTTCTCCAAGCTCAGATTCAATCCAGACCCCTCTGGTCTCTCCCAGTGTCACCCCCAGCCCTGTCCCCACACCACACAGTGGGGGGGGGGCCTGGGGGGCACCTGGCCCTGCACACAAATTCTCATTTTTCTCCCCAAAGCAGCTTGGCCAAGGACAAGAGGGGCAGAGCAGTGATGGGGTCTCACCGTGGGCTTCTCCCAGCACCTGTGGGTGCAATGCTCTCACTTCTCCTTTTGTAAAAAATTCTCTGAGGGCAGAGTCTGTATTTCCCCCAAATTTTACAATCCCTGCTCCTTCTGGGGGTATTGATGGCAAAAAATGAAGTGCAAATGTAACCACTGCATTTTAAAAAAAATTAAATTGTATTTTGTATTTTAAAAATGATGAGTTTACCAAAAGTCTCTGGATTAAAATGCTGTCAGATTTGGGCAGTGGTGCTGGATCTCCACCCAGGATCCCACATCTGGATCAGCACCACAAGCTTTATTTAAGGGCAAACACCAAGAACATCCCTGCAGCCACACCAGGGAGCTGGGCTGGGGAACAGGGAGCTCAAACCAAACAAAAATTCCAGCTTCTTCCCAGATTCCTGGAAAAACAACAATCAACAGCACGAGGCTCCTTCCCTCCTCTCAGCCCTGCACTGAGCAATTAACAGAGCTCATTAATTCTCTCCAGGTGTGTGACAGACACAGACACAGCAGAAAAACAATCAGGGCAGAGCCACATTGTTGGTTTTCTCCACTGCCACTAGAAAAATATTCTGATTACAAAAATAATTTGCACAACAAGCACGGGATAAGCAGCAGGTTTCTCTATCAGGCTGATTTTTGGAGCTCTGCCAAAGAGATTTGTTAAACAAAGTTGATTTTTTTTTATTTTTTTTTTTTATCTATATCAAAAGTGGGTCTATAATTTCATACAGAAATGACAAATATGTAAATGTAAATGACAAGTGGTTCATAAATTCTGCAAATATCCTCCCAGAAATGCAGGGTTATGGCAGATCACTTCAGCTGCCTGCACAGAAGGACATTTGCAGCCAGCTGAAGTCAGGACTATTTCTGAACCCTTCAAAATTTACTGTTAATATATAAGGTTTATATATCTACACACACACACACAGAAAGACTTTTTTATTATGTGTATATATAAAATATATACTAGATGGATAGGCCCTCCAATTATAAATGCATAACCACAAGCTGGAGATAATTTGGCATTTTTCCTGTTTAAAAATGAATTATTTTTTTTTATAAAAACAAGTTCTGCCTCCCTGCACAGAACCCAGCTGGGGTTGGGAGTGAGGGCAGCGTTCCTCCAGCTCTGCCAGGGCACTTCCAGCCTCCTGTTCTGGCATTTCTTCCATGGCGTGTTTTATACTAACACAGGTTTTTTTTATTCAAGAAGAAAATGCAACAGAATCCAAGGTGGAAATTCTGCTTTTTCAACTCTTAGAAAGCAAGGAAAGCACCTCTGATTCCCAACTCTCATCCTTTCAAAGCCCTGGGAAGAGAGGCCAGCGGGAGGAAGGCTGAGGCACAGCTCCCTGGAGCTCCCCAGCAGCTGCTACAACCATTTGCAAGGTAGTTTTGGCTAGAAAATGCACTTTAAGCCTGCCTGGGCACAAACAGGTGCTGCCAGCACAGGCACAACCCCCCCACACCCCCCCAAAACAAAAAAAAAATTATCCATAATTTTAAAAAATGTAAACCCAGTGATTCCATCTCTACAACTTTGCTTTTTCTGCAAAGCTCAGGCAACTTTGGTCGTGATGGAGTTGGCAAATCGCCACCAGGACCCCTCCATGCAGAGAGGCCCTGGAGCCCATTCCCTCGGCCAGGAAAGGCAGGGATTGAGTCAGAAAGCTCCTGACAGAGACAGGGATGAGCAGGAATGCCTTGGGAAGCTCAGGGAATGGTGTGGACAGGGTCGGGGTGCAGGTACCTGGAGGAGCGGCGGCGCTCGGCCCGGCCCCGCTGGGCTGCAGGGGCTGGCCAGGAGGAGCTGCCCCTCTCCTATAACAAAATGCAGGTTTTCTTGTCCTTGAAAGGGTTCTCAGAAGCTGGAATTCCCATCAGCAGAGGGTCCTTCTTGGCGTGCTCCTCACAGTACAGCATGAGGTCTGCCGAGGCCTTGGACACCTGCGGGAGCAGGGGGAAAATGGGCACCAAAGGGGGTTTTCCATGGAAATGGGGATAAAATGCTGAGGGCTGGGAGGGAGCCAGGTGGGATGGGAGAGGTGCTGGGAGATGGACTCGTTCTCCAGGGATCTGCCTGCTGCTTTGATCCACGGGGAATGAAGGAAAGGATGGAGCCCACACCAGGCAAAGGCTCCACCTGGCTCCTACAGGAAACTGGAAACAAACAGGAGGGGCTTCAAAATAATTCCAGAGGAATTTTTATCTCTCCTGGAGTGACAGGACAAGGGGCAACTGCTTCCCTCTGCCGGAGGGCAGGGTTGGCTGGGATACTGGGCCACAAGAAGTGGATTTATTTGGATCTGTTGAGCTTTGAGAGGGGGAAGCACTGAGCTGTGTGTGCACAGAGACACAAAACACACACAACCACTCCGTTACCTCACTGTCCTACAGCCAGGAGGGGAAAAACAAGGACAAGGAGGGGGAAGGAGGCTGTGCCCTCACCTTTATCCTCTCGATGGAGGCCTCTATCCTGAGCTGCTGCACGGTCCTGCGGGCCTGGGCGATGTTGTTGGTCGTGGTGGCTGTTTTGCCAGACATTTTCAGTGGAGCAGGGAAGTTCTGCTTGGAAAGAAAGGGGGTTGTTATTCCAGAGGGCAGCACAGCACCCTGAACTGCTTTTACACAGAGGTGTCCACTACACACTGCAAAAAGGGGTTTTTAAAAATTATTATTATTATTACTATTATTATTATTATTATATCCAACAGGATCAAGCAGCTAAAAGCTTGGAGCTGCAGGTTTCTGGGCTTGTGGACCAGCTTTGGCCACTTGATGCCCCCCATCTCCAGCTTCCCCTGGGATTCCAGGGATCCCAGAGGATGCTGGAAAGCCACAACTTCCCTGTGAGCTGCCCCAAGGAAGGGGACAAGGTCCTGAGCCCACCAGAGAGTGAAAGCAAGGAGTGAACTGGGATGGAATCACACAATATTGAGGTTGGAAACGTTTTTTGAGACCATGGAGTCCAACCATTCCCAGCGCTGCCAAGGCCACCCCTGCCCCACGTCCCCAAGTGCCACATCCACAGGGATTTTAAACCTTTCCAGGGATGGGGATTTGTCACTGCCCTGGGCAGCTGGGCCAGGGCTGGAAACTCTTTCTGGGGAGAAATAAAATCCCTGGCACAGGCTGATGCCAGCATCCCTGGCTGAGTCCTCAGTGTCCAAGGTTTGGAGCAGCCTGGGACAGTGGGAGGTGTCCCTGCCATGGCTGGGGTGGGATTTTCTCTTTCCCAACCCAACCCAGTGTGGGATTCCAAATGATTCAGGTCTGCAGGGAGCCCAAGAGCCCAGCCCTGTCCCTGAGCTGTGTCCCAGTCTCCAGCAGGACCCTGCTTGTTCTGCACAGCTCCAGGAGGAGATGCCTGCGGATCCCTCCTGCCCATGCCCTGAGCCCAAGGCAGCTCCGTGACCTTTCTGAGCAGCTCCTGCAGGATTCAGGTTTCCCTCAGCCAGCCTGGCAGCAGGGATGATTTCCAGCTGGTGCTCCTGCCAGCCCAGCCAGCTGGGAGCAGCGTTATCCTGCTCTGAGTCCTCACTTCCAGGGGAGATTCCTTGGAAAAGCTCTGGGCAGAGCAATTCCCAAGCGGCAGAAAACGCCTGTCCAGGCACAGGAGGGACATTCCCTCCTCAGGGCTGCTGTCACTAAAAACTGATTTCCTGGAATAAACAGCAAGAGAATCCTCTCCTGCAGATCCATGGATGCTCCAAACCCATCCAGCCTGGCCTTGGGCACTGCCAGGGATCCAGGGACAGCCCCAGCTGCTCTGGGAATTCTATTCCAGGGAACGATTCCTGCCCAAGATCCACCCAAACCTTCCCACTTTCACCTTACAGCCATTCCCTGTGTCCTGTCCCCTCCACCCCTTGTCCCCAGACCCTCTCCAGCCCTCCTGGAGCCCCTCTGGATGAAAAATGAATCTTCCAAGCAGGGAACTCCAGCAGGCACAGCCAGAGCTGCTGGGTTCAAACCCATCATCTCTGGAATATCAAGAGATGTTAGACAAAAGCACAGATCCACCATAAACTGAGCCCAAATTCCCAGTCCAGTCCCTGCAGTTTCCCCTCACAATATTCCAAACCCAACCCAAAGGAATTCATTTTTTATCCAGTAACGACTGCAGCTCTGAGAGGACAGTTCAGGAGTTGCTGATTTCTGTAATTTTAGTACTTTTTGGGGTTTTTTTAAGGGTTAAAAAAATTAAAAGATAAACCATTATCCTCTCATTTAACTGGGGAAAGGCCACGCTCAGTCTTGCCTGCCCCAGCCCCAAACCCCCCATTTGCCACTGGAGCTGTTGGATTCTCTGGATCCCTTCCCACCCTACATGGATTGACCTCCTTAGGAAAGTTCCAGTGCTTATTTTCCCAGCTGCTTAGCTTTGTTAATTAATGAGATGTTTGGAAAAAAACGAACCAAAACAACCCAAACCATAAGATTTGAAAATTAAATTGCTGCATTTGCCCATCTCCAAACAAACATGAGCTTTAATAGCCCTCCTAAGATTACTAAATCTCTTCTACAGGGAGATTTACAACAACTAGGTCAGCTCCCAATAAATCTGTTTTTCTTCCCAGTTCCTGGCAACGGATCCGAGCTGCTGCAGCCATGGGATTTCTCACAGGGCAGCCTGGACTTGACAAAACTCTCCAGATTTAAACTGGAGGTGTTGGAATTCTGCAGAACTTGGGGGTTCTGAACCCTGGGCAGGGTTTTCTGGGGTAGGGAAGAGGAAGAAGTTGCTTCTTCTCCATCAGTTGGAGAGGGAACAGCTCTGATTTCTAGGAGATGATCCCTGGTGCTCAGCCCTGAGAGCCTCCCTCATCCCAACACTTTCCCTTTGGGATCTCTCGTGTCCCAGAAGCTCCTCCTTCCAAAATGCACCAAAAATCCATTTTCAAGAAGTTTTTCCATTCAGCACCTCAAAGAAAACATGGCTGGTGAGCCAGGCAGGCTGGATGGGTTTGGAGCAGCCTGGGACAGTGAGAGGTGTCCTGGCCATGGCAGGGGTGGCTCTGGATGGGATTTGAGGTCCTTTCCAGCCCAAAGCACCCCAGGATTTTCTGGTTCTGCTGCTCAGAGGGGGCTCCCTGGAGGAACACGTGGTGACAACCTCGGTCCCCTGGGTGTGACAAGGCACAGCAGGGTGGTGCTGACAGAGATTCCCAAAGCCCAGAGCAGCTGCAGGCAGGGCTGCAACTCTCCCTGGGGTCTGACTCAGCCTAAAACCACACAAAAGGGTCAGACCCAGAGCAGCCTCCCCTGGCACCCCCAGCCATGGCAGGGACAGCTCCCACTGTCCCAGGCTGCTCCAAACCCATCCAGCCTGGCCTTGGGCACTGCCAGGGATCCAGGGACTGCTCTGGGAATTCCATCCCAGCCCTTTCCCTCCCTGCCAGGGAAGAATTTCTTTCTCATTCACCCACTGAGCCCTGAGCCCTGCAGAGGAGGATTCCCACCGGCTGCACTTTGCCAGGGAAAGGCAAAACCACAGGAAACCTCCAGTGAGGTTCCTGCAGCCACACACCTGCACTTTATCCTCTCTTGAAACACCTGCAAACAGCTGGAGCTGCCCCTCTTGCCCAGAAAAGCTCCATTTTTCCAGGCCTTGCCCCATTTTCTTTCCTCAGGCTTTAGGTAACGAGGTTGCCATGCAGCAGATCCCCAGATCCGCCCGGGCTGCCTGCCAAACTCCAGCTCCAGTGGGATAATTAAACTCTGGACTGTCTTATTTACTCTTTCAGATCCAGGACTTGTGAAGCACCTGCTGAGTGAAAGGTAATTAAATCAGCACTGCTAAAGCAGGGCTGGGGATCTGCTGGAAATCCCAGCAGCTCTCTCTGGAAAACAGCTCCCAGTTTGCTCCAGTTATGCCAAGGCAGCTCATACTGGAGCAGCAAAGACTGGCTGGCAGCTGGAGAAAGGCTCAAAGGTGTCTTGGAACTGTTTCTTTGGAAATAAAGCACATTTTGAGGGGAGTAACTCAAAATTTGGATCGACAGAGCAGGTTGGGAAAAACACAAACCAACTCCAGTGACAACAACAACACCTACAAGTGTAACACCCCTCCACCCCTGGGGATCCAGCCCCTGGAGATCCAGCGTAACGCCCCTCCGCCCCAGGGGATCCAGCCCCTGGAGATCCAGCCCCTGGGGATCCAGCCCCTGGAGATCCAGCCCCTGGAGATCCAGCCCCTGGGGATCCAGCCCCAGGAGATCCAGCCCCTGGAGATCCAGCCCCTGGAGATCCAGCCCCTGGAGATCCAGCCCCTGGAGATCCAGGGTTGGCAGCAGGGATCTAAAGTTCTGCTGCTGCAGGGAATCGATGCTGGAGCAGCTCCAGCCTGGAAATGTTTGGATGCTGCTGGTGGATAAAGCAGAAACAATCACCACCGTGGGAATGATCCCACCTTTCCCAAAAACTCAGGAAAAGGGGGAAAAGAGGGAAATGAGCAGTGGGGTAAGCTCAGAGCTGCTGCTCCCAGCTCAGTCCCAGCCCTGAGCTTGAGGCTTTTGGTAATTCCACCACAAGTGCTGCAGGTTTCCAAGTTCCCAAATTCCCTGGGAATTTTTGCTGGGAGAGTTTTTAGCTGGATCTGCTTTGTCACCACCACTAACACAGGCTCTGATTGCTGCTCCACAGCCCTGCCTGCAAATCCCTTCTGCTCCCTCCTCATCCCTTCATCCCACTGCCTTCAGCTGGGACCCTGCAAACAATCTGGGAACAACAGCAAACCCCAAATCCCAAATCCAGCTGCCCCTCTCAGTCACTCACACTCCCCAGAGCTCAGGGGAATAAAAAGAATAAAATTTTGCTTCTGAAAACGCGGGGATTTGTCGGGCAGGGAGGAGGAAGAGGGGGATGCAGGGAGTGGCACCAAGCTGAGGTAAATCCTTATGGAGAACAGGGAAAAAGAGGCACAATGCCCACCCTGGAGGGGTGGCACAAGCAGGGGGTGATGGCAGAGCCTGGGCTGAGGCACAGCCCCACTCCAGGGGCAGGGCAGGACGTGGGGAGAGCTTTCCATGGATCCCAAGGCTGGATCTCTGCACGTGCTCCTCTCCCAGGAGCTCCGTGGGAGCGCCAGGGCCGGCAGCTGGTTGGGACTTGAATGCTGGAGCTCGGTTTTCCTACAGGGCACCCTTGGGAGCAGGTTTGTCATGACTTGCAGAACCTGAAAATGCTCCGAGTCCAAGCCAGGAGGCCACTGCTGCCATTCAAGGTGGGGGCAGGAATAAACAACTCAATTCTGAGCATGCATTGGAGCACAGCCGGCTCCAGCAGCAGATAAAACAATTCCCCACGAGCATCACAAAGTCTCTGCAATTGTGATATTCCCTAGCTTTGATTTTTGATTATTTTAGGCCTCCAGTGGAAGGATCTGTTGGAGGAACCTCAGGGTGCCTGGCTCTATTTTCAGCCAGAGGATTTGGAGGCCCCCCAGATCCTGCAGACCCTGGAGCAGAGCAGGATTGAACAGGGGGACCCACAGGAAGGGTGGGAGAGGCACAGAGTCCCCTTTCCTGGGAGAAAGGAGCATCCAAAGGATTCCTCTGCCCACCTGAAACCTCGGGGGTCTCGGGGGTGCTGCTCCCCCCAACAGTGACAGGCAGGGGCTGCAGGAGGTGCCTTGCCCCGGCAGGCCCGAGGATTTTGGGAAGGACTTGGGAAGCCTGGATGTTTATTCAGAGTGGGGAAAGGAGTGGAAGGGTGGGCGTGGAGGGGGAGCAGCCCTGAGCTGTCCACGGACACCCCTGGAATGGGAATTCCCTGGGGATGGGAACGCTGCCCTTCCTGCTGCAGGCTGCTCCTGCAGCACCAGGGACCCTCTGTCCCCGCTGTCACCTCCATCAGCAGCACCAGGGACCCTCTGTCCCCGCTGTCACCTCCATCAGCAGCACCAGGGACCCTCTGTCCCCGCTGTCACCTCCATCAGCAGCCCTGCAGCACTAGGGACCCTCTGTCCCCGCTGTCACCTCCATCAGCAGCCCTGCAGCACCAGGGACCCTCTGTCCCTGCTGTCACCTCCATCAGCAGCACTGCAGCGGGGCAGGGACAGCCCACAGCGCTCCTGCTCCCACCACTTGTCCTGCTGGGAGGAGGAAGGAGATTCCAGGCCAGCAGCTCCATCCCTGCTCCGGCCAGCCTGGTTTTTCCAGGCTGGATCAGCCCAAGGGAAAGCCCAGGGCTCCCGCTGTGGGGCCGTGCTGACACCCAGTGGAAGAGCCGGAACCTTTTCCTTCTGCTGCGCTGCCAAAGAGAATGGAAAACAAACCCTGGGCAGCAGGAAAACACCAGGGTCCTGCCCTCAGCCAGGAAACCGAACTGAGAGTGAAGGGAAAAGGGGATCAGAGATGCTTTGGGGGCGTTTCTCTTTTTATGGTGCTTTTGTCCCATCCCCAGAAGGCTCCAAGGCAAGGCTGGAGCAGCCTGGGACAGGGGAGCTGGGACAGGGGAGCTGTCCCTGCCCATGGCAGGGGTGGCACTGGGTGGGCTTTAAGGTCCCTCCCAACCCATCCTGGAATCCATTTGGAATCCATCTGGAATCCATCTGGAACCCTCATTCCCCACACAACGAGCAGAGAGACGAGTGGTGCAATATCCCCCAGATTTCCAGGAGCACCCCGAGCCGCTCCCGCGCTCTGCAGACTGAACACAACATCCACAGTGCAGGAAACACAAAATCCACAGGGCAAACAGTGCAGGAAACACAAAATCCACAGGGCAAACAGTGCAGGAAACACAAAATCCACAGGGCAAACTTCCCAGGAAAAACAAAATCCACAGGGCAAACTTCCCAGGAAAAAATGGCAACAGGGATCATCCACCCTGATCCCACCACGGGAACCAGTGGCCAGGAGAAGGATTTCTCCACACCTACCCCAAACCAAGCTGTGAGTAGCAGCTCCCTGGTTCCTGGCATGTGAGAAGGGCTGGGTTTTAAAACAGGTCTGGGTTTTAAATCAGGACTGGGTTTTAAATCAGGACTGGGTTTTTAAGCAGGACTGGGTTTTAAATCCAGACTGGGTTCTAAAACAGGACTGGGTTTTTTTTTAAGCAGGACTGGGTTTTAAAATAGGACTGGGTTTATAAAACAGGACTGGGTTTTAAAACAGGACTGGGTTTTAAAACAGGACTGGGTTTTTAAGCAGGACTGGGTTTTAAAATAGGACTGGGTTTCAAAACAGGACTGGGTTTCAAAACAGGACTGGGTTTTAAAACAGGACTGGGTTTTAAAACAGGACTGGGTTTTTAAGCAGGTCTGGGTTTTTAAGCAGGACTGGGTTTTTAAGCAGGACTGGGTTGTTTTTAAGCAGGACTGGGTTGTTTTTAAGCAGGACTGGGTTGTTTTTAAGCAGGACTGGGTTGTTTTTAAGCAGGACTGGGTTGTTTTTAAGCAGGACTGGGTTGTTTTTAAGCAGGACTCAGATGAGATTTACAGCGGTGACACAAATATTTTATGTGTGCTAGAAAAAGTTTGGGTTTGGTGAAAGAAATCAAGATCCTCCCCCAAGGATCACACTCTGGAAAAGGAAAGCTGAAACATCTGGCAGCTGCAGGACTTGCAGTGGTTTTGGGGAGAATGGGGATGCTCTGGGCTGCTCCACAGCTGAAGGGATTGGGGCAGCTCAGATTTTAAACCAAATTTTCCAGCAGAAAAGATCCAGCAAAGCCCAGCTCTGGTCCCATGCCCCTCCTGGAGGCGGTGCAGCAGCCAGGGCTGGATGGGGAATGGGAATTCTGGCCATGCAGACACACCTGGCTTGCACAGGGTCAGTGCAAAATGAGAATAAAAGCCCCTTAAAGCACAGAACATCCCATTTGTGATGTTTCCTCCTTCAGAGGATTTACACTTGAGAGCAGTGAGAGATTCTACACTGGAGAATTTTTTTTAATTATAAATAATGCTGCCAGTGTCTTAATTGGAGATTAAAATCCTTAATGATGTGAAATGGAAGGAAGCAGACAGTTCCCAAGATCTTCAATTGGACTTGGTGTTCTGGGTGTTTAATTGAAGCTCTGTTCCTTCATAACCTGCACTTCAGAAGTAATTTCTGCTGATCAAACCTGGGCTGCAGCTCCCTTTGATTTTCAAATTCAGCCTCCACTGTGGGATTCTGTCAAGCCCAATGTACATTTTGGGTGAGGAGCAGTGGAAAAACCTGCTTTTTCTTTCCTCTGCATTCCTTCTGCCTTCACTTTTTGTACCTTTAACACACACAAAAAGTGACTTTTAGATCAAGGCTACTTTGAAAAACATCTGAGCAGCGTTATTTTAAAGACACCAGCCTGAAGTGACTGGAAAAGGCAACGAGCTGCAGGGCAGTTTCTCCACAGAAGATCCCTGCTCCTCATTCCCACTGGGAAAAAAGGGGAAAAACTCCAAAGAGACATTTGAAAAATGCCAAAAGAGGCTGAAAATCAGGAGAGGGCAGTGCTGAAAGCTCTGTCAGGGGATGCAGCCTGGCCCCAGGTTCTGTGACCTTCAGCAGATTCTCTGTCTGCTGCAGATAAAGCCCAGGACGCTGGCTCAGGATGCTCCAAGAACTGGGAAGGTGGGAAGGATCTCACCACTTCCTTGGCTCCAGGAATTTATCCAGGTGCCCATTTTTAAGGATGGAGGGAGGGAATATGGAATAATTTGCGTTTTTTGATGGACAAACAAAATACAGGTAGCACAGCAAAGACAGAAATGATGAAGATTTGCAGGCTGGTCCTTCCTAATCAGGGCAATAAACAAGGAAAACCTTAATTTCTGTGGGAAAAGTAGGTTTTCTGCCCCCTAAATTCAACACAAAAGCAGTCAGGCAGTTAAAAGAATGAGGTGAAAAGTGTCAGCAATCCTGCCAAGGACTTTATATTTGTTCTGCTCCAGAATAAAATTAAATCACCAGGGTTTGGGACCTGTCGTGCTGCTTTGCATTTTGCACGAAACAAAAGAACCAGAGTGGACTGGAAACTCACCTACATAGGCAGACTTGCTTCCTGACCAGCTTGCCTTGATTTTATCAGTGCAATGATCCTGAAACAAGAATAAAATTAAAATTATAAGGATTTTACAGTGCAAGAAAGCCAAAGCTTGGGGGAGGGGGGGGTTGGCACTTGTGGTTTAATGCACAAAAATCATATTTTGAGATTGGAAAATCTCAATTCTTCAAACCTGGAGCAGCTTGGGAAGTGGGAAGTGTCCCTGCCCATGGCAGGGGGTGGGACTGGATGGGATTTAAGGTCCCTTCCAAGCCAAACCATTCCAGGGTTACTTTGTCCCTGGAGACTCAGAGCTGTCAGCCTCCAGTGATGGGTTCTCACAGCTGGGTTTAAATCACTGCCTAAACAAATCTGAGAGCTCACATTCCCTATGGAGACCTTACACACCCAGAAAGAAACCTGGAATGGTGGCAGTCCTCAAATCCTGCAGGCACTGGAAGGGCTCTGAGCTCTGCCTGGAGCCTTCTCCTCTCCAGGTGAGCACCCCCAGCTCTGTGAGGGTGATGAAAACCATCAGGTGATGGGAATTCTGTGAGCACGGAGTGGATTTACAAGTGAAACCATCTCTGCTCTCCTTTTCCTGGCTGTGCTGCTGCGGGGAGCCCGAGGGCTGCACAGTCAGCTCACACACAGGTGTGCAAACAGATGTGTCAGCTTCCACACCTCCAGCAGGGACTGGCAATTCCCTGCAGCTCCCAGGGCAGCTTCCCAGCCCTGCAGAGACAGCCCCAGCATGGAACTGGGATCAGGAGCAGCAGGCACAGCCAGGGCACGGCCGGATCCGGGATTGCCACTGGAATGAATCCCAGCTCCGGCTGCTGAGGGCTGGTGGAGCTCTGGCACCCAGCCCTGGAGGAGCCCCAGCCATCCCCTTCCCTCACTCCCAAGGAGGGAAAAACCCACCTGAAATTCCCAAGGGCTGGTCCTGAGCAAGGCACAGAGGGGACAGGCAGCACGGGCAGTATTCCCGTTATAATCCCCTGCTGGAAACGGGATCAGGCTTTTAATGAACACTGCTCAAATCATTGTGTGGAGGAGGGAAATAAATTGTGTTAAGGACAGTCTGCCTTGCCACAGTCCTTGTCCCTGTGCCAGGCTTGTCCTGTCCACATCCAGCAGGGAAAGCAAAATAAATAAATGTGACACGTAACCTCCTCCACGGACGTGCGACCGCTGCACAAAATCAAAGCTGGGATGGAAAAGCTGCTGCTCTGTTTATCTGTGCAATATCCAAATCAGCTCACACCCCCTGGCAATTGTCAGGGAAAAATGAGAAGAAATTTAGAACTGACTCCTGCATCCTGGGGGGGATGAAAACACAGTCAAAACAACCACGGAGCACACGGAATGGTTTGGGTTGGGAGAGACCTTCAGGGATCAGCCAGTCCAAGCCCATCTTTAATGCATCTGAGGAGTAATTCCAGCTCCTGGGGCTGCCCTCCACCCCAGAGCCACGCTGATATTCCTGCCTAATCAAAGCTCCTATCAAAGCAGCCATAAAAACCCACAAAGCCAGCATTGCTGGCATAGTTTGAGGCTGGTGTAATGCACCCCCTGCAAAAGCCTCCACTCAGAGGCCAGGCCACGCTTGGGAAGGAATAAATCAGGGAAGGGCACGTGGGATGAGGAAATTCCACAGCTGGATGGGTCCCAGTCCCTCTGGCCAAGGCTGGCAGCACCAGGCAGGTCCTCCTGCACTGCAGGAGTTCCAGTTCCAGCTGGAGCATCCCTGCTTTGCAGGAGGAATCCCATGCAAGTTTTACAGCAACAGCAACCAGATTCAGCTGGGAAATGGATGGTTCCTCTCCCATAAAAGCCAGGGACACCTTCTGCTTATCCCAAAACTCCTGCCTTTGGGAGGGGGCTGGAAGCTACAAACAGAGCTGCAAATGTCATTTGGGATCTGCTCAAAATTATTCCCAGCAACCACAGAATCACAGACTGCTTTGGGTAGGGAGGGAGCTCAAAATTCACCTCATCCCTGCCATGGCAGGGACAGCTCCCACTGTCCCAGGCTGCTCCAAGCCCCAACCTGACACTGCCAGGGCCTGCCCACCCTCCCAGAGAGGGATTTATCCCCAAAATCTCATCCAAACCTGTCCCCTTTCTGTGACAACCACCAGTCCCTGATGTGTCCCTGGTTCAGGCAGCAAGGGCTGGGTCCCAGGGCATCCCCTTGGCATTCTCTTGCAAACTGGGAGGGAGAATTTTCTCTCCTCAGCTTAAAAGCAGCAGAAAACCTTCTGGTTATGTGCTCTGGGGGAGGTTGGGCACAAGGCAAGCCCTCATTTGGATGGGAAAACCAGACAAAATGTGCTCCCACTGGTTCTGCACAGGGAACAGCTCCGGAGAGTGAAGGGGGGATGGCACAGAGCAGCAGCCTGGGAATGCAGGCTGGGAATTCAGGCTGGAAAAGCAGGCTGGGAATTCAGGCTGGAAAAGCAGACTGCTCCCTTCCCAGCAGGACTGAGATGGGCTTTTCCACCTCCCAACACCCCGGAGAGCCACGCTGGAGGATAAAACCCACCCAGAGAGCCAGGGCTCGGAGCTGGTGCCGCACGTCAGAGCCGGGCAGGAAGGCTGGGATCACACATCCCAAAACAAAGTGTGCCAAAAAATAAACCCTGTCCCTGCACAGCAGGATTGGAAAGACACAGGAGAATGGATGGGAAGACAAAGGGGGTAAAAAAAAGGGGAAGCAAGGCTGGCTCCTGCCTGAGCTGAGCCGAATGTTTAAACAAGGAGCTGATCCCAGCGGCCACGTCCTGCCGGCCTCAGCTGCTCAGTACAAATAATCCTCACAACACACTTTTTTCCCTTTCCCTCCTCCCTCTGGAACTCCATCACATGCCAAGACGCTGATACGGACACAGGAAGCTGAATATAAACACGCTGCCTGTTTTACCAAATATTCAAAGGAACACAACTAAAAATACTCGGCTGCTGGTGCCCAGGAACATCCCAAAGCTGTGATCCACCCCCAGCCACGCTGCCTGGGGCTCCAGGGATTTGGGGCACACTGAACCCCAAGCCTTGGCTTTCACAGAATCCCAGCTGGTTTGGGTTGGGAGGGATCTTAAAATTCATTTTGTTCTCTTCCCCTGCCATGGCAGGGACAGCTCCCACTGTCCCAGGCTGCTCCAAACCCATCCAGCCTGGCCTTGGGCACTGCCAGGGATCCAGGGGCAGCCCCAGCTGCTCTGGGAATTCCATCCCAGGGCCTGCCCACCCTGCCAGGGAACAATTCCTGCCCAAGATCCCATCCAGCCCTGCCCTCTGGCACTGGGAAGCCATTCCATGTGTCCTGTCTCCCCATCCCTTGACCAAAGTCTGGCTCCATCTTTCCTCAGCTCCTTCAGGCCCTGCAAGGCCACACTGAGGTCACCCCAAAGCTTCTCCTCTCCAGGTGAACATTCCCAGCTCTCCCAGCCTTTCCTCCCAGCAGAGCTGCTCCATCTCTCTGCTCATCCTGGTGCCTCCTCTGGACCCTCTCCAGCAGCTCCAGGAGTGGATCCTCTCCTCCTCAGGGCCACCTGGCTGGAAGGGGTTCAGCAGCTCCCCAGTGAGGAATGTTACATCTCCCGGGAATGCTGGATCCCCCAGAGCCACATGTCACCCCCACCTCCCTCCCTAAAATCCCAGGGAGAATCCCACCACAGCCCAGTCACCCTGAGGACTTCTGTCACTTCTTTCTCATCAATCCTCACAAAATACGGAATGGAAACTTTCTGCTCGTGTCAGCAGCGTTGTCTCACCCTTCCAAATTCCCCCCCAGCTTGTTCCTGAGAGCAGAAATGATGTGGGTCCTGAGCTCCCGACACCAAGGGCAGGATGAACACTGAGCTTTGGGAAAACGAGCCCCAAACTGTGTAATACTGCAAAATTCACCACACAGCTGCACAATTCCAGCAGTGCAGGAATCCCAAGGGTCACCAAACATCTGCAGCTCCCATTTTCCAAGAAAAAGCGAGTCTTTCAAGAACTGGGGGTGTTCCATCCCAATCAATGGAGTTGCACTCCAATTCCTGCCCCTGCCCTGGGATATTTCTGTGCCAGGACAAGGAGCCAGCAGCCTTCTCCCCATTCCCATGGTTTGTGTAAGCACAGATGGAGTTGCAGCAACTCAATCCTCCCTGGAATACGGCTCCGTGGCTCGGCCAAGGCTGTGCTGGTGTTTCCCTTGATAACTGTAAACCTTTGGAAATGATTCCCTCCGCCCCCTGCAGTGATCTATGCTCTGGCAAAGGGGACAAAGGGAAAGGGCGGAGGGGAGGATTTATGGGGCTGCACCAAGGATTTCTGCAGCAATATGGATTTGCTTTCGCAACAGAGCACACTCAGAGAGGGATACACTGGGATTTGGGAAGCTGTGTCCAGGGAAGGAGCACGTTCCCAACCCCATGGAGCTGTTGGGTTCAGCATCTCCTGCAGGGATGGTGAAGCCACAGGAAAAGGAGGGAGAGGGACTTTTTAAACAGGCAGGGAGGGACAGGAGCCAGGGAATGGCTCCCAGTGCCAGAGGGCAGGGCTGGATGGGATCTTGGGCAGGAATTGTTCCCTGGCAGGGTGGGCAGGCCCTGGGATGGAATTCCCAGAGCAGCTGGGGCTGTCCCTGGATCCCTGGCAGTGCCCAAGGCCAGGCTGGATGGGTTTGGAGCAGCCTGGGACAGTGGGAGCTGTCCCTGCCATGGCTGGGGTGGGATGGGTGGGATTTGAGGTCCTCTCCAACCCCAACCATTTGGGATTCCATAATCCTACAGTGTCACCCCAGGCCCTACTACAGAGAACTCGACGTGAATCTGGTTCAAATATTCCAAGTCTTTCCAGCAACCTATAAACTTAAGACCTTTCAGTACTTAAAAAGTCATCATATTGCCAAAGAAACATCACATTTGAAATAAAAAGATGTCTAAAGCCCACAGCACAACTCAATAATTTGATTTAACACCAGCAAGACGTGAGAGATCAGTTGCTCTGCTGCCTGGGAGCCCAAGAAACTCCTCCAGGATAACAGGAGAACTTCATCTTCCAGGGAAAAATCCTCCATCAGCTGGGTGATTATGGAATGAGCTCGCCCTCAGCCCCAGAGCCCATGCACAGTTCCTCTCTGGAATTGATTGCTTCCTGATTAGAGATATCCCAAATGCTGTGGTGAGTCCCACACCGGGGTGAAATGAGGGATTGAGGAGTCATTAACTCCATACTAATCCCTCAATCTCATTTAGCAGCACTGAGCAGCACAGAATCCTGCCCTTTACTCCCAGAACTGTACTTCTAAACCAATTTACACCCCAAACACACACAAGCAACGTGTCCCTGATCCTGGGGGCTCTAAACCAGGTGAAACACCGGGTAATCACCTGGAAAATGCTGCCAATCCCATTTGATGTGCCCCATTAATTAAATCATAGAATATCCTGAGCTGGAAGGGACCCACAAGGATCAAATCCAGCTCCTGGCCCTGCTCAGGACAACCCCAAATTCTCACCCTGTGCCTCCCTGAGCTCTGGCAGCCTCAGGGCTGGGACCATTCCCTGGGGATGTCCCACCACTCTCTGCAGGAAGAACCTTTCCCAAAATCCAACCTAAACCCCTCCTGACACAGCTCCTTCCCAAAAACACCAGGATAAAATCACAATATACACTCAAAACCCTCTTCCCCCCCCCGCTCCCCAAAAAATAGTAAAGAATTTAAGCTTGCAATAGAGAATCTCAATTTAAAAGTTACTAAAGGAACTAAAAAAGTTCCAGGAGTTTGGCTCCATGATCCCTTCCAACTCAGGATGTTCTGCAATTCTACAATTCCAAGCAAACTTATTACTGTAACAGGGCGTGTAATCTCAGTATCAACACGAAACCTCCTGGAATAATGACGCTTCCCACTAATTAACCTCCTTCCCACACTCATCCCACAGCTCCCCGCACGTGGGAAACTTCCTCGGTCAAGCAGAGCTCCGGGATTCCAAGGAAAACCCAAGGTCTGA